TTTTGGTTAGCAGCCGAGCGCTTAACCTCCGTGTCACCCGGGGACCTAATGTAACAATGTTGATGTTGTTAGTTGCCCTCAAGTCAGTGCAGATTCATGGTGACCCCGTGTGTACGCAGAGTTTCTACTTCAGAAGCAGATCACTAGGCCTTACTTCTGAGGTACCTCAGGGTGAGTTTGAACCACCAACCTTTCAGTGAGGAGTACAGCACGTAACCATTTGCACCACCCGGGGACTTCCAGTGTACCAATAGCTACCCTTGATTGAGTGCTTACTGTGTGCTAAGCATGATGCCAATTACAGGGATTAGCTCTTCTAACTCTCACACCACACCTATGTGGTGAGTATACTATTAACCTTGTATTTCAGATTAATAAACTGGGGCTTTGAGAAATTAAATAAATTTCCAGCTTTTGGACTCAGGCAGTCTAACTATAGAACCCTGGTCCTTAACCATCTCACTGTATTTCCTCGAATAACAATACACTGGGCAATACTTCCAGTTCCTGCCACCTGACTGTCAGCTTATCCTGCTGTGGTGGCTTGTGAGTTGCTGTAATGCTGGAAGCTGTGCCACCAGTATTTCAAATACCAGCAGGGTCAAATCCATGGTGGACAGGTTTCAGTGGAGCTTCCAGATTAAGACAGACTAGGAAGAAAGGCCTGGTGATCCACTTCTGAAAGTTAGCCAGTGAACACCCTACAGATCACAACAGAACACTGTCTGACTTGTTTGCTTTGGACACCTTACTAGGAGGGATCAATCACTGGAGGAGGACTTCATGTTTGGTGATGTAGAAGGCCAGCGAGGGTGAGGGACGTCCTTGGGGAGATGGACGGGCACAAGAGCTGCAATGATGGACTTGAAAATGCTGGTGAGTGTGAGAAGGACGCAGGACCGGACAATGTTTCTTTCTGTTGTGCGTAAGATGGCCATGAGTCGGAGTCAACTCAGCAGCAACTATCTATCTTTCTTTCTCTACATCCAACGACAGTTTTGCAAAAGAAAGAATGATGTCCAAATGGAGATTCTTGTGAAATAAAGGTTGGAGGTAGAGCATTAAATAATTTAACAAAAGCATTTTTGCAAGGTTTTGAGAGAGTATTTTTTATTCTGATCATCTAACTTATTAGAGTCGGCCCTCCGTACTCGTGGGTTCCCCATCCATGGATTCAACCAGCCATGGACCAAAAATATCTGGTGTCGGGGGAGGCTGGGAGCAAGTTCCCAAAAGCAAAACTTGAATTTGCCGTGCCCGAGCACTATGCTAAACCCGTGCGAATGAAGGGATGTGTAGCATCCCCTGCTGTAGCCTCCCCCGTTTCACAGCTCCTCAGTCTCTCCAGCACTCATTGTTGGAGCATTGTTCACCTAGCATCCTGTCATTATTCCCTAAACAATACGGTATAACAACTATTTACGTAGCATTTACATTGTATTAGCTATTATAAGTAGTCTAGAAATGATTTAAAGTATACAGGAGGATATGCATGGGTCCTATGCAAATACTAGGCCATTTTATATAAGGGATGACTGCATGAGGACCAACACTGGGGCTTCTGGGAGAATGGGTAATTACCATATCTGATGGGTCCTCTCAAGTCCTTTCGTAGAAGCCTTGGGGAGGTCCGGCCTCTTCCACAAGGTAAGGCCCCACAGCACCAGCAAAAGGGTGGAGCAAGGATGCAGGAGAGACTGGCAGGAGGCCAGCAAGGTGGGTCCTACTGTGAGTTGAGACATTTGGAGCCAGACTCAGAAGCAGGAAGTAGAGGGTAGGGAAAAAAACAATGAAGGCATCATGCTTGAGGAGCTAGGCCAAGACAATGTGAGGAATGTGGGTCGGACTGGACAATGGGAAATTCCTGCACTGAAAAGTAGTACAAACCGATGAAGCGATGGGCTTCCAGAGCCAACGTCATAAACACTGGGTGTGCCTTTAACTCAGGAGTAGGGGGAGGGTGCAGATATTTTAAAAGCCGGAAACGTAGGTGCTGAGTCACAGGAAGCTCGTGACTGTATTATCTACCCAAGGCCGCTAGTGGAAATGCTTCATGTTTTGACTGCAGTGAGAACTGTTGGCTTCATCTACCCCTTCTGGATGGTTATGCTCCCGTTAAAATGGGACCAACACTGCCCTGTTTCCTGTCTCCACTCACTCTAATCAACGGTGGCCAGAATCTTCAAAACAATCGGTCTCCAACACTTCTTCTTCTCCTGCAAATATTTATTATCTCAAAGTTTCTGTGGTCAGGAATTCAGGAGCAGCTTAGCAGAGTGGTTTGGGTGCAGGATCTCTTGAGAGGCTGGAGTTATCTGAAGGTTTGACTGGGCACATACTTCTTTTATCATAGCTCAACTTAAGAACTGTAAATGGCACCCTACTGCCTAAGCCGGCTGCCATCAAGTCAACTCTGACTCACGGCGACCCCATGTGTGTCAGAGTAGAATTGTGCTCCATAGCATTTTCAATGACCGATTTTTCAGAAGTAGATTGCCAGGCCTTTCTTCTGGGTGCACTCAAACTGCCAACCTTTCAGTTGGCAGCTGAGCGTGTTCACCAGTTGCACCACCCAGGGGGTCCTCCTACTGCCTGCTTCAGTCTTAACTCCCAGTTTAGCTTCATTCTGCCTTTCCTAGCTGGTCCCTCCACCCCTGCAACGCCTTCCTGTCCCATTGGCAAGGTCTGCTCACTGCTCCAAAAGGTTCACGGTTTGGATTAGGTCTCTGTTCCCTGTGCTTTTAGTCTTGACTTCTGTCTTAGTCATCTAGTGCTGCTATAACAGAAATACCACAAGTGGATGGCTTTAACAAAGAGAAATTTATTCTCTCACATGCTAGGAGGCTAGAAGTCCAGACTCAGGGTGCTAGCTCCAGGGGAAGGCTTTCTCTCTCTGTCAGCTCTGGAGGAAGGTCTTTGTTATCGATCCGCCCCTGGTCTAGGAGCTTCTCCGCTCAGAAACCCCGGGTCCAAAGGACATACTCTGCTCCCAGGACTGCTTTCTTGGTGGCATGGGGTCCTCATGTCTCTCTGCTTGCTTCTCTCTTTTATATCTCAGAAGAGATTGGCTTAAGACACAGCCTAATCTTGTAGACTGAGTCCTGCCTCGTTAACATAACTGCCTCTAATCCCACCTCATTAACATCCTAGAGACAGGATTTACAACACATAGGAAAATGAATCAGATGACAAAATGGTGGACAATCACACAGTACTGGGAATCATGACCTCACCAAGTTGACAGATATTTTTGTGGGACACAATTCAATCCATGACAACTTCCCAAGGTGATTGTAAGCTCTTTGAGGGAAAGGATTTATGTCTTTTTAAATTTATCCCTTTTCTCCTCAGGACTTAGTGCTAAGCATATGGTAACCAGTTGTCATGGATTGAACTGTGTCCCCCAAAAAATGTGAGTAGCAGCTTGGCTAGGTCATGATTCCCAGTATTGTATGATTGTGTTATCTGATGTGATTTCCTTATGCGCTGTAATCTCTACCACTATGAAGAGATTATATATGATCTCCTCATGTGTTATAAATTCTATCACTGTGATGAAGTTATACTGATGAGGTTGACAAGATTAGTGTCTTAATGCAATCTCTTTTGAGATATAAAAGAGAGAAGCGAGCAGAGACACATGGGAACCTCATACCACCAAGAAAGCAGTGCTGGGAGCAGAGCGCGTCCTTTGGAGCTGAGGTTCCTGCGCAGAGAAGCTCCCAGACCAAAGGAAGATTTATGACACAGACCTTCCTCCAGAGCCAACAGAGAAAGCGTTCCCCTGGAGCTGATGCCCTGAATTTGGACTTGTAGCCTAGTGGACCGTGAGAGAACAAATTTCTCTTTGTAAAGCCATCCACTTGTGGTATTTCTGTTGGAGCAGCACTAGATGACCAAGACACCAGTCAAAGCCCGCTGCTTGACTCAGTTATAGTTTACACGGAACAGTAGTCAGACCAGCATCAGCCACAGTTAGATACCTAATAAGGACTTTTGGATTGAGATCATGATGATCTCAAAATCAGAACTTATCTTGGTGTGTTTTTTTTCTAACAGTAATATCGATAATAAAAGCCTCAGGATGACCTGGTGTAGTGGAGTTCAAAAGGGATGAGTTTGAATGCCAGCTCTGTCACTTATTAACTGTGTGACCTGGGTAGGACATTGTGACTCACTGTTTCTTCATTGCACAAGAAAGACGATCGGGGGGCCTCCGAGTGGTATGAAGAAGATTCGGTTACACACCTAAAATTAACATTCTAGCACACTAAATGGCTGTATTAGACATTCAATAAGTGTTTTTATTACAGAAATGTTGAAGACTCTATCATTTTTTATCCTATAGGTTTTCTATTTTTCTCCTTGTACCCAGATCAGAAATACCATTTCCAATTTTCTTTAAACTCTTTTGAGGTTAGATATTTTCTGATAATGAGAAGTTGGTAGACGTCATATGAACAAAGCAGCCTTTTTTTTTTTTTCTTTCTTTTTTTGTAATCTGTCTGGATTATAAAAAGCAATAATAAAATAAGCCAAATTACTCATAGCTTTGGGCTGAGAATGAGGATAAAAAGGGAAGAAGAGAAGGCACAGAGAGAGTGCTTAGGTTGCTGGTAGAAATATGGTCCACTAACCCTCGATTTAGAAGAGTCCTGGTGGCACTGTGGTTAAGCACTCAGCAGCTAACTGAAAGTCAGAGGTTTGAACCCACCAGCAGGAGAAAGATGTGGCAGTTAGTTCCCTAAGGGGCAGTTCTATTCTGTCTTGTAAAGTCTCTGAGTTGGACCTGACTCAATGCAATAGGTTTTTTTTTTTTAACCCTTAATTTAGAAGGTCCCTGGGTAGCACAAGAGTCCTGGTGGCTCAGTGATTAAGAGTTCAGCTGCTAACCAAAAGGTCAGCAGTTCAAATCCACCAGTTGATCCTTGGAAACTCTATGGAGAAGTTCTACTCTGTCCTATATACAGGGCTGCTATGCGTCAGAATCAACTAGACAGCAGTGGGTTGGGTTGGGTTTGGGTGGCACGAGCTATTTGTTTGATCTTCTGCTAACCTAAAGGTTGGTGGTTCGAACCCTCCCAGTGGGGCTGTGGGAGAAAGTCCTGGCGATCTGCTTCCGTAAAGATGACAGCCAAGAAAACTCTATGGCGCTGTTCTACTCTGCAACATGTGGGGTCACCATGAGTCAAACTCAACTCAACGGCGACAGGTAAGTCTTGATTTAGCGCCTGTGATGAGATCTTGGCGGTAGGAAAACCCCGTTATAGGGTTCCTGCTTTGGCTGGAGAGGCCCAGACTTGGGCTATGAGCCCTGTGACAGAGCTGGGGCGCCGGCTCTCTGGGCAGCTTGAATTTGCTGCAGGATGGACATGGCTGAAAGGAGGAGACCACTGTGAATTAACCAGGAGTGAGAACATCAAAACGGAACTTTATTTCACCCAGGAACAGAAGGATAAGATGGCATTCTTCTCTATTTAAATTCCTTATCCCATCTTCTTGTCCTTCTACTCAGGGCTGCTGTCAGAGGCTGTTGGCGCTGTGGTGCCAGGCATGAAGCTTCTGCCACCGGGTCAAGAGACCTCACTCTTGGGTGCTGGCTCTGCCCCTGCCTTCGGGGGTCGGCCCTTGTACTCGCAGGGCCTTAGGTGCCTCTGTAAGTACAGTAAAGCTCCATTAATCTGATACCGTCGTTCAATAAAGACAGAGAAGCAACCGGTTGACGAGGCGAGACTTTTTCCTGCCATCACTGCTTCTTTATTTAAAAGTACAGATAATATTTGAAATGAAATAAAAACTCGGAAGCTTAAATGCATAAAATAAATTGAAGTAGCAGTGACACACACAGCCAAAGGCGAATGCAGCTGTTTAAAGCCACTTCTTGTTTCTCCAGGCACAAGAACAGCGAGGTTATAAAATGCATGCCTTTCTTGCACCATAACACAATGAAAAGCAAATCGTATTAATCCCTTTTGCAAAAGTCAATGGTCTGCAACATGGTAGCAAAAAGGCAACTCAAGGATAAAGCGAGGCTAGAGAGGAATTTTCTTACAAAATTTCTGAACAAGGTTTGCGTCCCATCCCATGATATTTTCTTGTCAATTTAAAAAAAAAAGTTGCTTAGCAAATATGTCTCTGTACTACTTCCTCTACTTTCCATCCTCAGCACTCATCTCAGAGCTTCTGAAATCTAAGGATTACCCAACCTGGCCTTGCTAACAAATAAACAAATTGAATGTTCCTACTGGAAAGCCCTGTTGCAGAGTAGTTAACGAGTAAACAGAACTTAACTGACTTATGAGAAACACCCAGAAAAGGAAATATCAGAGCAGCTTTGCCCAATGGGAGTAACTCTGTAAGAACCCTATCCCATTTTGGAAACAGAAAGTTAATTAATTTACTTCCCCCTTCCTTCCCTCTTGTCTGTCTTTCTTATTATCCTTCTTTGACCTCTGAAGCTTTGTATTATTTTCCCCCATGAAGAAGCTCAGCATTCAGGCATTTGATGCCTGTGATGGTTACATGTGTTCAGGGACCAGGTGCCACCATTTACTTGGAACGTAAAGAACCTTTCTATGAAAACGGATGATGTTGGTTTTAAGGTACACATTTGCTATCGGAAAAGCACATAGCAGCAGTAGGCCATGAGGCAAATTAGTTTATCCCTCTTCTGTGCTAGCTTAGAAAACTTGTGAGGAGGACTCAGGATGGATTTGGGATTCTGCACACAGTTTTATGGAGTCCATAGAGACTGACAGCTTGCCAACTGGGAGTCTCGCCACTTCTCTCTGGGCTGTTGTGAAGTTTCATGGGCTTTGGTGCATTATATCAGGATATTTGTGTTTGGATAATGGGGAGAAGGGCTGATAAAGGGCTAAGGAAATGCTCAGGGCTGCATAAATTAATAAAGAACATCAGAGAGATCAAAATCATGAAATTCTTTCATTTCCGCGATTGGATTCATCCCATTAACTGGCTTCCAGGGGCGTCCGGGACACTTGGGGGAGGTTGTTTCTGGAAAATCAGATATCAGGTTAAATGAAAGTCTATTTGGTTCTATTTGGATGTCAGGGATCCAGTCATCATCATTCTCTGTGGGAGGTGGTTGTGTATTAGGCATCCCAGTTGCAATGAGATCTGAGTCCCGTAAGTCAGAAAAGGTAACTGCTCTGCCTGGCTGGTCTAGGGAAGGGATGGGTGTAGGCCTTTCTGTCTTCTCTTGTGCCTGCGCAGAAGGTGGGGTACTATCTTCAGAAGAGCTCGCCAAATGCTCTGTTTTCCAACCATTGTGCTTTCCATTGTTTTTGCCTTTATTTTTATATTTTCCATGGCCATGTCCAGGCTCATGTTTATGTCCATGGGCTAGGCCACGTCCCCTTTGATGTCCACGGCCAAGACCATGTCCCCTTTGGTGCGCAAGACCATAGTCAAGTTCCTGTTGGTGTCCATGGCCAAGGCCATGTTCCCTTTGGTGCCAATGGCCTTGGTCATGCTTATGTTTATGGCCATGGACAGTGCCAGGTTTTGGTTGCTCTCCATGGCCCCTGCCATGCCCACCAATGGGTCCTTGTTCTTTTCCTGGATCCCGCTCTTCATCTTGTACAGGTACCATGGAAGTGTGGGGTGGACTTACAGTTGTTACTTCTCCTGTTTCCGCGTTTTTCCATGATACTGATCGGAAAGGTGAAAAACCTGGAGGCCTTTTCCTCAATGACTCCTAACAGGAAATATTAAGACGAATGCATTACAGCGAAAACCACACTATCAATGAAGAGGGAAGGGACTGAGACCTGGCAACGTTATCTTGGTTTGCAATGGGGCAGGTCTTTGCCAGTGTTTAATATTAGATTATATCCCAGATTCTTTCCTCTTTTGATTAATTTTTAAAAATTTGCAGACATTGATTATTGCTCTTAATAATACTCTAAAATAACCTAGAGAGTTTTTTTCTTCATCTGGAAAAAACAGATGGTTGAACTACAAAACCTCTAGGGTATCTTCTCAGTTTTAACAGCCTGTGATTTTGTAAGTCCATTGCACACTATTTCTTAATTAACACTATATCTATGAACATAATTACTGCTTTTATCCTAAAAGGCCCTAAGAAGCTTTACAAACTGAATATACAGGGAGTCTATATCCATAATCAGTTGGTTGGGCTTAAATACATTAGAATGTATTCACAAGCTTGAAATGTAGCCTTTGGACAGTGTTTCTGCTAGACTGTATTCATATCTACACATGGCAAAAACCTAAGATAGGAAAAAAGGGAGAAAAAGTAACTTGCATTGAAGGATGTGGAATTGTGGGTTGTTTCTACCTATATTTGCACTACCTTCGAGAATGATGCTTGGAGCAGTGATCAGTGGTGGAAAAGCCATGTGCTCTGGAGTCAAACAGGAGCCCTGGTGGCGCAGTGGTTAAGAGCTATGTCTGCTAACCAAAAGGCTGGCAGTTGGAATCCACCAGCCACTCCTTGGAAACCCTATGGGGCAGTTCTACTCTGTCCTATAGGGTCACTATGAGTCAGAATCGACTTGATGGCAACTGGTTTGGTTTGGTTTGGTTTGGTTTGGAGTCAAACAAGCCAGAGTCCACTAGTTGTCAACATCATGGTAAAGAGGATGGGCTCTGATTTGACCTAGATTTGCATCGAGCACCATTACTTATATTGGCTGTGTGACCTTGGGCAAATTACTTGAGCTTCACTATTGCCATGTGTAAATTAGAAATTCTAACAGCACCCATCTCAAAAGGTTATAATGAGGACTAATGGAAAATGTGTGTGAAAGGACAGGTACAGAGGAAGGATTTGATAATATTATTGTTCACTCTGGAATCTCAGAGTCGTTCTAATTTTTAGCCTCTCATGTTTTCTCAGCCTTGACAAAGGGGAAAGGATTACTTACCTCCCAAGGTTCTTTTAAGAATTTAAAAATCATCATGTAAACTAATGCTTCTCAAACGTTAAAGTGCAGATTCTGATTCAGTAGGTGTGGTGTAGGATTCCCTAGGTGGTGTAAACTTTTAATGACTCCTCTGCCAACTGAAAGGTTGGAGGTTCGAGTCCACCCAGAGGCACCCTGGAAGAAAGGCCTAGCAATCTACTGCTGAAATATCAGGCCATTAAAAACCCTATGGAGCGCAGTTCTACTCTGACACACATGGGGTCACCATGAGTTAGAGTTGACTCCCCGGCAACTGGTCAGTCCCCTGTGAGGTCTGAGATTCTGCATTTTCACAAGCTCCTGGGATGTGAGCAGAAGGAAGGAGCTCGTTCGTGTGTTAGCACCCTACAGAGAGGACCACACGTCACAGAATCAAGAGCCTACGGAAGCCTCAACCGGACATGTCAGTTTGTGAGGGAGGATTAAGAGGACTGTTGCACTCTTTTAGCCATATGAAAGAGAAGCCAGCACAGAAATATGAGATTTCTTCCCATTCTAAAAAGATAGTTGCCCCCAATTCATTTCACAAAAGCTTCATTTTCAACCTCAAAATATGGCTTTTCAGAATGAGCAAAACTAACCCCCAGCAGACTGTAATAGACATCATACCATTACCAGCGGTCGACAGTTGACAGTAGGGTAAATTTTTTTCTCCCAAGGTACCTCAAGAACATCTGCATCACATTCTAGAGCTTTCTATCCGTGAAAATGGAAAGCAAAAGAGAAAACTGTTATTCATGAGATGCTTGAACAAATGACTCTTTAAAAATCAAATAGATTTCCAGGGAATAAGTAGACAGTCTCATTACTACTCACTCCAACTTCCTTGATCTCACAAGTACTGGTCAGTTCTTCATTTTTTTCCTTGAAACAATTGGTTTCTCTGGCTATGAAAGCAATAGAAAATTTCCTTCCAGCCACCACCTGGAAAATTAATTAGCACAAAGTAGGTGCTTAATAATTTGTGTAATAAGTGACATATTTTTACTCTAAGGATTTTTAAGGAGGAATCTTGAAATTTTTATTTATACACTGACCACATGAAAGTTACATGTGAAAACTATCAATATTTGACAACAAAACTTTCAGGTTGTATACATGTTTAAACTATTTGGCCGTTGATGGGTCTCAATTTATTTCCTAAATGTGATAATATTAAGAAGAAGAGAAGAAAAGAAGGCTATAATTTTAATTTTTTCCCGAGTTTTCTTGTTCAACAGCTGCAAAATTCACTAGTAATTCAGGGGCTGCAGTTGTAATGGACTCTAAGTCTCGTAGGAAGAAAAATGTAATAAGCATTTACTTTAAACATGCCTTGTCCTGCCAAATCTTTCAGAGAAATATTGGTTTTGTATCATGGTAGAAATTATATGGAGGAAATAAAGTGATTAGGATAATCATTTGTGTTTTCTAGCTTGCTTCTCTTAATTTTTTTTTAATATTAAGAAATTATTTTAATCTCTAGCAACAGTTGTAATCATTACACATTGTTATCTTTCATTAACCTTGGGGCTCAGTTTCTCAACCAAATTATTCAACACTTAGTTCTAGGATTTACATTTTTATGTGTGTGTGGGGGGGAGGTGTTATGCAGCTATTTATTAAAAAGAATGCATGAGATCTATATTTACCGGCTTGTATGGATGGCCATTATTGAAAAAGGGAAGTTGGGGTAATGGTGTTATCCCATAAAGGAAACCACACATTCTTCCCTATCTCTATGTTGTTGAGAGGACGGAGAAAGTCGTGTTAGGAGGAGGGTGGGGAGAAAAAAAGTCACAAGAAAAAGTAAATTCCTCTTCTACCTTCTCTGGCACTGTTTTGCTGGATGGTAAGTACAGTTAAAATTTTAAGAAGGATTTAATAAATGACTTTTAAAAATCTAGGTGTGTGTGGAAGTTGGGGCGGAAGGTTCCAAAGAGATTTTTAAAGGGTATGCTTTGGTGATCATAAATTCTCTTGCTCATTTCAGAGAGCACCTTAATCCAATCTTTCTTTCTGACATTAAAGTTGATCAATATAATTTTGTCTAAGAAAGTTGACAATATATGACACAACCACAGCTAAAGGCTCAATTCTACCCAGGGTCCCAAAGAGAGAAATGAAATAAACCTAGTAATACCTTCCATTCAAGGACCTCAAGATGACACCCGCCTCATCATCATTATCAAGTATCATTCTTACTAGAAGTCTTCCTGCTTAAACTCAACTCATCCTGCCCAAATTTTAGTTTTAAAGTAGAGAATATCATATAGCAATATAAATTCTGAATGGATTTAAAAAAATTTAAATTAACAAAATAAACTAGCGATATGTAAATAAATACTCATCAGCTCTCAGGATGAGGAAGGCCTTTCTTAGGTGAAAAGCAAAGGAAGGAAGGGAAAATTTTGATTATACAAAGATGAAAACTGATTCTCAAAACTCATGATGAATAAAGTAAAAAGGCAAAAGACAACCTGGGGCAAAACATGATGGAGGGCCAGTATGCTTATGCATATAAAATCCAATACCACAATAAAAAAAAATAGGCAGACTTTCGGGAGCCATGAAGGTTGGATGAACCCCCAAAACTATTGCCCTGAGATAATCTTTAAACTTTAAACCAAAAATATCCCTTGAAGTCTTCTTAAACTCAAACAATAGTTAACTTTAACTAGTAAAGAATATCTGCCTTGAGCATTGGGCTCTTTTAAGAGCTATCTATATAGAATCAAATTGACAACAGCAACTCAAAATTAGATAGGAGAGTTAGGGGGCAGTGAGTTTATATCAATGGGGGAGGAACAATTTGGAAAAGGAAGGAGAGAATGGTTGCAATAACATGAAGAATGTAATCAACGTGACTGAATTGTACATGTAAAAATTGTTGAATTGATGTATGTTCTGCTATGCATATTCTCAACAACAGGAACAGAAAATGAAATTATAAAAAAAATGGACAAAGGACATGAATAGAGATTTTAGAGAAGGAGTTAAAATGGTCAATAAGCTTGAAAAAATGTCTAATTACATTAATAACCAAAGATATGCACATTAAAAAAGCAATGCAATATCATTTTAAATCTTTAATGGAGGACAACCAGAAGCTCCATGAGTGGAACTCTCCTGGATCCATGCGCCTTTGAATTTAACCTGCATCCTTTTGTTGTAATAAACTATAACCGTGAGTATAATAGCTTTCAGTTTGTTCTGTACTTCTAGCAAATTATTAAGCCTGAGGGTGGTCTTGGGGACCCCTGAACTTGCAAGAACATTCATAGGAGGGAAAGACACCCAGGCAGAGGAGATAGTGGGAAAATGACATGGGGATAAGGTGATATGGAGAGAGTCTGGACAATGGTAGACTAACTGATGTGGCTGAGCCCAAGGCACTAGGTGATTTTATAATAAAAGATAAGTCTAGAAAGGCATAGGCTAAGTCTTGCTTTTCCTAACCCTGAATTTTATTAATTATGTAATAGTTGCATAATAGTATTTATATAGCATTTTAGAGTTTGAAAAGTGATTTTACACACATTTCTTACTTGATCCTGTACAGATAGAAAATTGAGAGAATATTTTAAGTGACTTGTCTAAGATTGGAAACCCTGGTGGTGTAGTGGTTAAGAGCTACAGCTGCTAACCAAAAGGTCGGCATTCTGAATCCACCAGGCACCCCTTGGAAACTCTATGGGGCAGTTCTACTCTGTCCTATAGGGTGGCTATGAGTTGGAATAGACTCGATGGCAACGGGTTTGGTTTTTTTTTTTTTTTTTTTGTCTAAGATCACATATCAAGCATGCAGTGAGGTTGGGACTTGGGTTCAGATCGACCCAATCCCATTCACCAGGTTTGCTGTCTTCCAGTCTGGAGCCAAGACTAGCAGCAACGTTAGTTAGCGATTGCTCACAGGCTGTAGCATCACTACTGTGTGGTGTAATTTACAGACCTGTACTGTTGCGTTTTTCACACTGTCGATCTTGAAATAGAAAGGTTCGTTATTCTCTGCATTAAGCTTTGCAATGGAATGATTTAAAGCCTCCTTCAGCTCCGGGCTGTCGACAGCTATCTCCATGGGGCAGCCAGGGCAAATCTTGGTAGGTGGCGGTACAAATTCCTCTGCTGAAAGAATCCGATTTTAAGTCAGTGTGTGCACGGAAAGGGCAGCCTAGCCTAGCACCTCTCCTGGACACGCCACAGCTTCCATGTTTTTAGAGGGTTAAGTGGCAACCAGAAGGGCCAGCTGTGAGTGGGAGAAGGTGGTCTATCTGGCCTTCACCTTCCTGCTTCCACTCCCCTCCTCAGAGCCCAGTGTGTTTAGGAAAAGCTGTCAGTGACTCAGGCATGCAACACTTCTGAGTTTTTGCATTTTTGGTAGAAATTGTGTCAAGAGCAATGTCTAACTTAAAAGACTGACTCTCTAACGGGGAACATTCAAAGTCCTACGGCCCTGATGAGCAGCCAGCATCAAAAATGCTTCTCATTGCCCAATGTACACAAATGACTTTCAGGTATGAGATAAGCCAGCTCTTTTTTATTTTTCGTGATAAGCCAACTCTTGTTAAAAGAAATACTGACTTGGCCATACTCACACTATCTCCCTTCCTCCCCATTATCACATGCAGAAAAGACATCTTTAATGGGAAGGATTTTATTCGGGAACAGTTCCAAATGAGATACAGTCCTCCCCAACTGATTCCACCTGACTGAGGCACATCTTGTGCACAGGGATGATCAGCTGGCATTGTACTAGAGGCCAGCTTTGCCCAGAGGAAGTACATTTTCCCTCTGTTGCCACAGTCCCTTCTGGTCACTTGCAGAGCAGCCTCAGAGGACATGTCCTCTGCAAGCTCCATGAGTTACATAGACTCTGTGGCGTACCGTGGGAGGCAAAACACGGTTCATCTGAAAAGAGCCAGCCAGCTGTCTGGGACCAACCTTCCACTACTGGAGCCCCAGCCTGTGTTGCCCCATACCTGGGTAAAGGTCACAGTTCTGTGTGAAGGAAGCAATTCTTAGCTGAGGATCCACGTATGCAGTGCCTCTACATTCACCGGAATCCTGGTTTTTGAAAAGTATGTAAGTGCATAATTTTAAAACGCTCTTGAGAAGCTTTAAACTAAACAGCTAGTACAATTAAACATCAGACATCAGCTTCCCAAATCATTGCATAGGAGAAAAAAGAAACAAAACACAGTCTAACTGCAACAGAGAGAATGAGAAACCATGAGGTAATAACATTAATAACAAGAGAAACACATACAGTAACACCCAGAGGCATGATATGAAATGACAAGAATACCCAGAATAGAAATAATTACCATGTAAGTCAATGGGTAAAATTGTCTCATAGTCAGGCAAAGCCTTTCAGAATTAAATTAAAACCAAAATGAATTTATCGCAGCTTCAGGAAACACATAATAAAAATACAAAGAAAGCTTAACAATAAAAGATGAGCAAAGCTATATCAGGGGAATATGAACCAAAAAAAAAAAAAGAAACTAGACCATTAATGTTGGATAAAGTAAAATTCAAGGTAACCAAAAAACTGTAAAAGTGGTAAAAAAAAAAATATATATATATATAACTTTACGTTTTTAAAGGTACAGTCTATACGGTATGGAATCAAGAGACATAAAATTAGACATACAACATGGGTGGAAATACTTTGTGGTGGGAAAACTTTCTATAAATCTAAGACAGGCCAAATGGATAAAAAATAAATAAGGTCAGAGGAGACTTTAATAATAAAGAATATTTGTTTAAATAGCTTTCTAATTGCATCAAACCCATCGCCGTTGAGTTGATTGCAACTCACAGTGATGTTATAAGACGGAGCAGAACGCCCCAGAGGGTTTCCAAGGCTGTAATCTTTGGGGAAGCAGACGGCCACGTCTTCCTCTCGAAGAGCGGCTGGTGGGTTCAAACTGCCGACATTTCAGTTAGCAGCCGAGAGCTTAACCATTCGTGTAACCAGAACTCCTTGGGAATATAAGCATACCTCCCTAATTAGTTGGAGTCTTCCTTGGATAAAGGAAAAAAGGAAAACAAAAATGAGAATTTCTCAAAACATCGCCAGAGCAGCATTGGGCATTCATCTGTGGCGTTGTTTGCTTTCATAGTTTAAAACGAGAGAAAACAGACAAAACAACACCTCGGTGTTTACCTCAATAAGTTAGAAAGAAAAGAATAATAAACAGCCTTACACAAAACAAGAAGGAGTCAACAGTCAAGGTAAAAGCTAAACTAAAGATTAGAAAATAGAAAGCACTTGCATTAGTCAATAAATCCAAATGATCATTTTTGGGATAAGGAGAAAAAACCAAATACAAAAGAAAGGTAATACAACAAAAGACACAGAAGTATAAGAATATAAGAGAATATTATGAACAAGTGGATCTAGTTGAAAATATCAAAGAAATGGATACTTTTCCGGAAAACTATAAATGACCAACACTGACTTAAGGACAACAATAACAAAAATCTTGAATGGAACAACGGCCGAAGAAGAAGAAGAGAAAGCTGTCATCACTCTGAACTTCCACCTCACACCTCACCTCCAATCAGCCTAAGCAGTATCATAAGTAAGTTATTTTTAAAATTAAAGAAATATACCATTTCCTTGCTATATAACAAATTGGTTCTGAATATTGAAAAGAATGGCAAGCTACCAACTCATTCTATAAAATTACAACCTGGTACCAAAATTGGAGAAGGTAGGGTCCAGAAGACTGTAGACCACTTTGACTTATAAATGTAGATGCAGAATTTTTAAATAAACTACGAATAGAATCCAAATGCATTTTTAAAGAATAATCAATACTTAACAAATAGGGTTCAATCTCAGAATCTAAAGATTACTATTAGGAAAGTTGTCAAAACACCATACTAATCAAATATATGATATTTCAGTATATGTTTTAAAGAATTTGCTTATTAAAACAAAACAAAGCAAAATAACCGAACTCCTTAAAGAGCAAGAGGGCAAGAATGCTTCCGTAATATGATAAGGAATGTCTATCTGGAACCCACGGCAAATATTACCCAGAATAACAAAATTCTAGAGGCTCCCCAACAAAGTTAGGAACAAGACACAAATTCTTGCAAAAACTGTTCTTTCAAAAAATATCTCTGGAAATTTGAGTCAGTTAAATGCGGCATATAATGAAAAAGCAAGCCTTGGAAAACAATAGATGAAAGTTTCCTTTTCATGAGATATTAGATACCTAGGAAGACAAAGAGAATCAATAGAAACCTGTGAGAATTGATCAGTGAGTTCACTGTTGTTGCTGGATATAAGGTAAGTATAAAAAAAGGATGGAGCCCTGGTGGTGCAGTGGTTAAGCATTTGGCTGCTAACCAAAAGGTCAGCAGTTCGAATCCACCAGGTGCTCCTCAGAAACCCTAAGGGGCAGTTCTTCTCTGTCCTATAGGGTCGCTATGAGTCGGAATTGACTCGACAGCAAAGTTTTTTTTTTTTTTAAATAAAAAATGATAGATTTTTATTTAATGGAGCACTGGTGGTGCAGTGATTAAATGTTTGGCTGCTAACCAAAAGGTCGGCAGTTCGAATCTACCAGCCACTCCTTGGAAACCCTATGGGGCAGTTCTACTCTGTCCTGTAGGGTCACTATGTGTTGGAATCGACTCGATGACAATGGGTTTTGTTTTTTGGTTTTGGTTTTTATTTAATAGTAGTAATATTAACAACAACAACAAAAAAAAAAAAAAAAAACAGAAAGGAAGAGATTTAATTCCTAATAGTAATAACGAAAACAACCAAACAAAACAAAAAACTAGGAATAACTTTAGTGATAAATGTGCTGGGTATATAAAGAAAATTACAGACGGTTAGAAATATAAAATAAAACTCGACTAATAGAAAGGCACAGCAAGTTCTTGACAGAAGAGAAAAGGGTTTTCTAGGCTGTAATCTTTATGTAAACAGATCACCAGGCCTTTCTTCTGTGGTGCTGCTGAGTGGCTTTGAACCGCTAGCCTTTATATTTAAAGTAGTCAATTGCTAACTGTTTGCACCACCCACACCTGTAAATACCTAAGCAAAATACTAGGAACTTTATAATTAGATTATTGCATACTTACACCATTCAAAAGGGATTTGCAGTCAGGAGTTAAGAATGGAAAATTCTCCTTGGAACAATTAGTTTGCACAACTGAGTAGGTAATTTCATAGTTCCATCCAGCTACCACCTGAAACAATTTTTGGATTGAGTATTTAAAGGGCAGTTTAAACATGACTCACAGTGAGATACAAATAACCATGTTATGAGGAGTTTAGAACACTGACTGGCATGTAATAAGTGCTCAATGGGTTTTTTTTTTTTTTTTGATATTATTATTATTACTAGGCAAAAGTCATTACCAGATGAGTGGCCATCTAAGATACTCCACTGGTCTCATCCCTTTGGGAGCAAGGGAGAATGAAGAGAATAGGATACAAGGAAAAGATTAGTCCAAAGGA